AGTACAGTCAATAAGGTGCTGATTAATGGTTTGTGACATTTTGTGCTATACATTATAGGGCGTGTCCGGTGGCGTGATCGCGCCATTTGACTTTTTTTGGGTTCATTTTCAGTGAATTTTTTGCCTTCTTATTTGTACGACTCACTCCTAGGGAGTTTTATAATGATCTGCTCAAATTTGTCAGTATCAGTCAAAATATGGTGCTGGATTAAAAGTTGTGCTTTATTTGATGCATGTAAATTGAAGGGCGTGTTCCGTGTTCGTTTGCCGTCAAAGTTGGCCAGGTTGAATTCGAATCTCAAACTGTGGAATGGGCCATTTCCGGCATTTTTATGGGCTTCTGTTTTTAAGGAATCTCCTCCTACAGATTTTATCAGATTGACTTCAAATTTTCGATCACCGCCATCTAAAACAACATTGGTGATCAAAAGTTGTGCAATGGGACTGTAGTTTAACCGCGTGCCCATGAACGACGTGGTCGAATTCCGCCGATTGGCATAACCTTTATGTACTGATTACTTCGCTACCATGCACGTCCTCACAACTTCGTGTACATGGTCCAATGTCAATGAAAACTTCACACCCGTGATAATCAGTCTCCCCCGAACCACGTCTACATTGACGATATTCAGATATAGGTGGGATAGCGCCACCTAACCCGGCAACAGGAAGTAAGCGCTGCATTAGCGACTTTTGGTCTGATTACTGGAAATTTTCAATGTTGTGGTCCGCAACGTGTTACGACGGCACGGTAGCCGACCGCAGCACACACCCGAGTTGCGTTGGAGTGCGAGGCCACCAACGCTGCTTGCAGCTTTAATATTTTATCTGAATTTGAAAAAAAACTATCAGAGCCAAGAAATTTCGAAAGAGACTTTAGGTTGGAAGCTTGAAGACAGTTGATTGTTGAGTCTTTTGAGATTTTTTCTTGGCTCTGATTGGTTGTTTTTGTGAGTCAAAATTGTGAGTATAAAGTGCAGGTCAATCAGAGGAGAGAACCTGTCCAACGTAGGTCTCCCAGCATTGTTCCTGCTGAGAACGGGTGTTCTTCTCAAACAGAGCTGTCTGGTTGGAGATGGTGCCTGAGCTGCTCCGGCCGCTGTTCGTTACGTCCAGCACCATGGCAATGGTCGCTATGGTGCTGTTGCGATGCTCAGAGGCAGAGATGTCAGAAACCAGGGTGGAGAGGCTGTCTGCCTCCGGCTGAGAGATGGTGGCCAGGAAGGAGCTGGAGTCGGACCAGTTACCAGGATTCACTGGGACCTGGAGGACAAATATAGTAGAATAGTAGTATAGTAGACCCATCATCAACTACGTGCTATGCTACACTCATATTAATCATGTAATAGCTACTTTGAGATGTAAAAGGAGTAATTCTACATATTGTTAAACTGCCTAATTTTGTTGCAGAGCTTGAGTTAGGGCATGGTTAGCCTAGCTTAGCATGACTGGAAGCAGGGGGAAACAGCTAGTTGCATTGACTCCAGTCTATGTTTACCTACCTACCTTTTGTACCTATTGTGACGTCACCCATTGGAATGATGAAAGATTTTGGATTTGATTTACTGATTCCTTTTGCTCTATAATGCTGCGCCTTCATATCAGAATCTTTGCAGACAGGAAAGGAGGCACAGATAGATAGCTGTGTGTGAGTGTTTTTATGCCTTTATTCTGATAGGACAGGTAAAGAAAGACAAGAAAGGGGGGAGAGAGAGAGGGCGACAACATGCAGCACAGAGCCACAGGTTAGAATCAAACCTGGGCCGCTGTTGTAAGGACTCAGCCTATAGGGGCGCATGGTAGCTCACCTGGTAGAGCGTACCCCTTGCATCCAAAACATTTCAGTGATACATAATTTAATTGATCAATAATGAGAAATATCTCTTCTTTTTATTTTATTGCATACAAGAATTACATTTACAGTATTTTATTTCTTATATTATGTGTTTGTATGTTTTTAATTCATCCATCCATTAGTACTTACACTGGGCTGTAGGCTATTGCTAAATTTCCATCTGTGGCTATGGCTGTGGAGTTAGAGTGGGTTATCCACTAATCAGAGAGTTGGAGGTTCAGTCCCCAGCTCCTCCTGCTGCATGTCGTAGTGTCTTTGTGCAAGAAATTGAACTCCAAATTTCTGAATGAGTTAGTGTGTGAATGTGACATGTAGTGTAGTGTGTGTAGTGCTTTGAGTGGTTGGAAGACTAGAAAAGAGCTATGAAGTACTGTCCTTTTATCCTCTATGTGTTGGCACTGACATTATCTCTTAAGTGATTATTATTATTTTTAAAATGCATAGATCTATACTATACTATATTGTATAGTCTTCTATAGCAGGGCTCATAACTTTAGCCTACGGACCTGAATACCTACGGACCTGAATACACCTGTTTGTGGTTTTAGGGGGAGTAACATGCTTGAATTATTTATTGCCGAACAACAGCTGGATGCAGATACTACACAGAAACACTAGGCAGAGAGATGCTCTACTGTTTGTACAGAAATAGTTCCAGCATTCAAGTTCACTATTGACTCTCCAGTGAGCCTCCCCACCTCAAAAAATTCTAACAAAGACATTTTTTACATTTTACTCAATGTTGTTTTCACATTTCTGTTCATGTTAACTATGATATTGTATAAATAGAAGAAGTTTTAGCGATGTTGGTTGGTGTATTTAAACTTTGTTTCTCCCTGTTTCACGTCTTTATGCTAAGCTAAGCTAACACAACCGGACCCAGTTCTGCAATAAACTTGAAATTGACATTGATCCTGTTCTCATGCCAGTCTCAGAAAAAAAGGTAAATAATTAAATTTATAACTATACCTCAAATAAGTATTAATAGAATGCAATAAAATATTAATTTAGCATAAAAAACCATGCAGTTTTCCTTTTATTAAATAATGTTGTAACTATCACTGATTAGACTGTAGCCATGGGTTTGGGTGAAATAGCTTATTATATAACTATTTGCAACAACAGACCACTTGCATATTGCATAATAAAAAATACATTTTCTACTTGCAACTGCTGATATCAGGCCATGCAGAAAGTTGTACATTTACATATACAAGTTTTTGGCACTAATTCCACTCACCACAATACTATTGGTACAAATTTTAAAGGCGGATATCTCAAAACACTGGGAATCTACCACTATCTGTGTGGATAACCTGCACCAGAAGTAACTGAGAAAATGTGTGTACATTTTGGATGATCTAACTCTTTAAACTGGTAATGGTAACAAAAAAACATGTTTCTCTACTCACAGCTGAGCTCATACTGTTGACCTTATCAAGGAGGGCAATAATGAGGCTGTAGAGATTTCCCAGGTATAAAACAAGCACTCTGTAAACACACAAACACATGACCAACATCAGTGTGCAGTACGACCTCTGATGAATTATGCAGTGTGTCATTAGTGCTGCATTAGGCAGGGGGAGTTGAACTGATGTAGTACCTGGCCAGCTGGAATCGCAGCGAGGTTCGTGGGTGGTACATCTCGAGCTGAGCCACCAGCTCAAAGGCAGACGGAGCAATCATAGTGATGAGAGACACCACCACACTCACCTGGAGAGAGGAAGGACAGGAAAGTCACTAACATGGTGGGCGTGTTCCAAAATTCTTCCTTTTGGAGAAAGAAGAAAGATTTAAACTAAAAATCATTAAAATCACATTTGGTAAATGGTAAATTGGTAAAAAATGGACCTGTACTTGTATAGCGCCTTCTAAGTGCTTTCGCGACCACTCCAAAGCGCTTTTACACTAGCGTGCCCTTCCCCCTTTCACACACATTCACACAGGTGATGCAAAGTCCATCAAAACAGAAACTAACTCATCGCATACAGCATTTCAACACACTGATCGCTATGCATATTTGGGGTATCTTGCTCAAGGATACTTCGACACGTGGCAGGAGGAGCCGGGGATCAAACCAACAACCTTCTGATTGGGGGACGACCCGCTCTGCCTCTGAGCCACAGCCGCTCGAATTGATACCAGAGCAGCTCATACAGTACCATCAACTTAGTAGTAAGTAAACGCTGGTTACTCTCTCCATTAAAGCTGCAGTAGGCAACTTTCATTAAACAAAAACATTTGGTCATAGTTACAGATATTTACTATACTTTGACTATATCCTGACAGTAGTACATGACACAGACAATCTGTGAAAAAAGTTCCTCTGGCTCCTCCTAGTAGAATGAAAACCACGAATCAGAGCCAAGACATGAGGGGTCTTAAGGGGGCCTTAGCTCATCTTTATGAAGAAACATAGAAAAAACAACAAAATTATTTGCTGAGATACATGTGACTATGGCTTAGCTTTCATTTCAGAACCATGGACAGTGCTGTTTGAGAGAGCGCTGCCAAGCCCTCAGGAAGAGCACTGGGCTCTGAAGCCAATTTGACATAGTGGCCACAACTGTGTAATTACGGCAATTGGGTCCGTCACTTGACACTGGCCCAAAAAGACTCTCTCCACTAAGCTTACATTGTGAAAGAAGTGGCTGTAAAATGGTGGATACATTTTCATCATCACAAATATGTGAAATGGCTCAGAACATTCAGAATTTGATCCATTCAGTCCGATGACATTTGGGAAGTCTAGAAGAGCCACACAATTAAATCATTTATCTCCATTCAAGTTAAGGGAAGTCTAAACCGGAAGTAAACCGAAACTTCGTCCGCCACTGAGCAACTTTTATAGCAATGAATGGAGCACAACCTCCAACACTGTATCCAGTTCTGCATGAGCGCTGCCTGCAAGCAGCTGTTTGTACATGACTCCCCCTGCTGATCATTCATTAGTTTAAAAAACAACTCTGATATTGATATTGTTACATGAGTGTTCTGATTAATACACGTATTTGATTTTAAAAAAGTAGCCTTGTGTTATTCTGGGCTGGCTGGGACCCATCCGTCTTCCCGCTACCTGCTAAGCAGTGAATTTGTGTCAGTTCTATTCTTAATAATTTGTTTTACTTACACAAGAATCCCAAGAAACTGATTATCAGTATCAATAGTATTAGCAATCATCACAATAAAAAATCACCACATCAATAAAATCCATTATTATGTGGCAATCACATATAGCTTTAACAATGTAAGGATTTCATATCATTAAAAAAATGTATATCTTTGGGTTTTTGGAACATTTGTTCAGACTAAGCATCACTAAAGACAGATATTTAGTTGATAAATCAGCAATTAAAATATTTCTTAGTTGCAGCTCTACTCAAATATGAACTTACATTACCTAAGTATAGTTACATTTACAAACAAGATGTGTTTAATATTTGAAGATTAAATTAGACATCAGAATTGGATCATTTTTCCATTGTGGTTACAATACAGAAAACAATACATTGATCCAGAGCTGAGCCCTGAACTGACCATTAGGCAGATAGAACAGCAGCCTCTTTGAAATGATGAGCTATCACTGACAGATGACATTCAACAGTCGCCTTCCACTGGATCAGTCTCAGGTCTCCACTTTCATTGATTCCTTTCAACTGTATTGTATGTTAGATAATCTAATCAAACTAATGATGATGATGTTGATGATGTCTGCTCTGCTCAGCTACCTCATTCTTCTCCCACAGCGTTAGCTCCGGCTTCTCCTGCTCAAGTTTCTGAGAGCGGTCCACCACAAAGTAGATGATGTAGATGCTGCCAGCCAGAGACAGCAGCACCAGGATGTTGGCCAAGATGCGCAGACTGATCAGAACAGCTCTGTACGAATAGACAGAAATACACTGACCAGTTAGAGAGCACCAAACTCATATTCAAAAATCTGGAAGTTCACAATAATTCCTCAAAATGTTTTAAAGGTCCAGTGTGTAACATTTAGGAGGATCTATTGGCAGGAATGGAAGATAATGCTACTGATGCAACTGCTATTCATATAGCCAACATTTATCAGTATATATTTCTGCCACCCCTTAAAGTCTCCATGCCACCCTCTGGACACCCCATGAATATTTATCTACATCTGCCCCTGAATAGCTAAGATATGGAGGGAGGTACACTCATTTATTTAATTCTAATATCCTCTGTCACTCTAGTCACTTTTGTGATTTTACTGTCAGTTTCTATAACGTATGGAAGGGTGAGTGCACATCACTGTCTATAACCTGTAGAGATTTCACATAAATGGGCTGGATTTGAAAATCATTCAAAAGAGGAAACAAGTGCAGAGGCTTATGGAGTCTCTGTGTGGTTGTTTCAGCTGATCTAACGGGAGGAACACTAATCAAGAACATGCACAGGAAGCGTGCAAAACCAAGAAAGGAATAACAAGGACTCCTACAGACTGGTATCCTTCTTCTTTTCCTGCTCCTCCACAATGGCTTCCTGTGCAGAGACACAGTTGGTATTATGTGCACGAGGGTAAAACCCAGCCAGTAACAATGTTTAATGTGAACATTAAAAGTATAAGAGATACATTAATGCACAAATACAAGAGGGGGAAATATATGTCCTTACTCGAACAGTGAATAAAGTGTAACTAGTCCACTGAGACTGCAGTGTGTGTGTCCTGTGTGTGTCTGACCCTGATGTTGTTGACGATGGCAGCTCCTTTGCTCTCTGCAGCCTCTGGGTTTCCTATCAGGTAATCCCAGGCACAGAAAACCCTCCAGCAGAAGGTGAAGTTCTCATCAGAGGCACTGGCCAGGCTCAGACGAGAGTTCTTGGCCATTCTGCAGGAGTATTATCATTCAAAGCACATTATCAAACCATACAATAGCAATACATAGCAATATTTTAGTTTTAGGATAGTGATGTTATTCAGGTAATCAGTCCAACACTTCAGACAAACTGGCCAGATTCCATGTAGTTTGTGGATGATCCCTACAGAATCAATGATTCCTCTCCTCTGACACCACCATCAAGATATATTTCCATTTGTGGTCTACACAAAAATTGTCAATATATATGGGTGGATCGCTGTGAAATTTACAAAACATATTCATTGGAATGCCCAATTGACTTTAAATGACCTTTCCTATGGTGACTCCCTCAGGACTCCCTCACTCATGTGGGAAGAATGATAAAACCATACATTTAACATTTTAATATTACTTAAATGTAATGATGCCCGTATATATTTTGGCTCTTACATTTGTATTGTGATGTCTAATGAACATTGCTGTCTCTAGGAGACACTAGAGGGTTTTTACCCCATTAAGGTGTGGTCACAACAGCAGGCGGTGGTGCTACAGGGTGGTGCCAGACCCTTTGTTGTTGGCCTACCTGAACAATAAGTGGACACAGTTTGTAAAAAGACACATATTTGTACCATCAACTCCTGTCTCATACTCTGGCAGAGCGGGTTTATATAAAAGTGGATGGTGCAACATTGGTCAATAGCATAAATTTGCATCTCTAAGTTCTTAAAGTTGAACTCCAAGCAAAAGATTTGTGTTGATGATTTACTTCACTGCTGTGATTACGGTGGCCCAGACGTGTCAAATGAACATGATATCCAAAATGCTTTGCCTTGCAAAACACAAGCGCATTACCAGAAAACACAAATTCAAAAGCCACAACATAACAACAGAGGTGAATAACAACGGATATTGACTGAACTAAAAAGACAAACTATTATTGCCGGTGGATTGTTGTTGCCTAAAAGGAAAGTTCTTGCCCATTTGAAGCAAATCGTTAGCTAGCTAGCTAAGTATGATTACTATCACTATGAATAACTTTGCTCATTTGTGAGAATCACAATGTGCAATTAGACAGCAGAGAACATAAATATGAAAATATAGACATTGTTCACTTTATTTGACGCGTCTGGGCCACTGTAGTGAGCAGATGATAAATGAGCAACAAGTTGTTTGTGACATGACACACTACATGTTCTAGTCCAGTCGATCCCAGCCTGACCCCTTGGAGGGACCCTGACCTACAAGGCGGAGCCAAAGCTTGATTTTAAGGGGTGTAAGGAAATTTGGGAAACATGTTGAGAGAACCGTTGGCCTAGTCATTATCTAAAAAGGGCCTGATCAGAAAACCTGGTCAACTCATTTTCAGGCATTACATCACATGATTACATCATCAAATCATTATCACATCAGTATGAGTTGTAAATAGCGTAATGATTACTTTCTTAACAGAATGATGAAACTGTAGGCAAAGACAGCCATCCCAACCAGGAAGTAGGCGAGGGGCAACCGGTACCCTGCACTGCCAATTTTCCTCACCCTGCCATAATAACCATAGAATAACACAGAGTACTGCAGGTAGCCCTGTGGAGATCAAACACACACACAAGACATGTTCACATATTCAAAAACCAACTGCATCTACAGTATAACAGCTACGCAGTCTAATACACACACAGCAAAGCAAACAGAGAGTCATTAGATATCATCATGATTGCTAAATCTGTGTTATGGATCTTATTACACCTGCCATTCATTTGAGGTTCATGTATTAAAGGTATGCCAAGGATGAATTCTAATGTTTGTGGGGACTCCCTGACCTATCCTCCAATGCCACTGTGATTGAGTGTTTCAGAAGCATAGCATCTTCAAAATGAGTTGCCTGCCCAGCGTTGCTGACTTGTATCTAAAAAGGATACAAAATGTGTTTCTTCGCTTAAAACCTCCTCTAACCTGCATCTGACTGACTTACTATTGTGAAATTTGAACTTTGAGGACAAAATGTTCACTTGCTGCCTAATATATCACACCCACTGAAAGGTGCCATGATAACCAGATAATCAGTGTTATTCACTTCACCTGTCAGCGCTCACAATGTTATGGCTGATCAGTGTACATCAATAATAGCTCAACTTTACGCACGATGCATCCATGATGATGAAGATACAGAAAGATAAAATTGTATGGCAAAAATAGCATAGTCAATATTTTAGAGACACAAATCCTATATTCAGGGTAGGTTTTGTCTTAATAAGACATTAAACAGTTAATATGATAGGAGAAGAGTGTTTCCTGCTGTATCACTCCAACATATTAAGTTGGGACTCTCTTTTAACAGGCTACCTGGTTCCTCACACGCTGTATGTAAACTTAAAGTTGGCTCACTCACAATGTTTTGTGATGTTTGATCATAGTTAATTTTTCTTCATGCGTAAGAGACAATAACTGAGTGATAGTGCCCTGGATTAGAGGTCAGGGAAGCAGTAAAGTAATGTTTGAATAATGGTCCATTGTGTCTGTTAGTAATGTGTTATTGACAAAACAGTAAAAGCAAAGAGAGACTTGCCCCGAGAGACCAGATGGTGTCCAGGTCCTGGGCTGAAGCCAGATGCTCCTTGGGGATAGTTTTACTCCTCGTCGTTCCAAACGGAGCTCCGGCCAGCAGCTAGTGCACAAAAACACAGACCAATTCATGCATTATCATAATGATACACCCTTTATATACTGTTTATATACAGGGAGAGAAACACACAGAGTTCACAGAAGTTAGCTTGATTTAAACTTGTATCTTGTCAAACAGAGTTTGTTATTTGAGAAAAAAACTTTCTTGATACATCAAACAGGCAAGAGTGGAGCAAAAATCCTTTGCAGGTCATTTCAATTATTTATGGTACTAGAAAGGACACTAGCTACATGCCAATTAAAGGAAAGGGTCAACATTTGGCTTTCTTTCTGAGAGTGAGACGAGAGGGTTGATATCAGTCTCATGTTTGTGTATGAAGTACAGAGCTAGAGTTGGATGTGGTTAGCCTAGTTTGCATAAACACTGGAGGCGGGGGAAACAGCAAGCTTGGCTTGTACTAAAAAGTACTGCAAACTCTCCTTTGTAGGAGGCTTGGTGGTCTTTTGTGTCAGTCAGCACCAAAGAAATGCAGGATGGTGTAGACAGTCCACTTCTAACCACTGTCCCCTGCAAAGGACATAGGTTAAAATATGTATTTTGAAAGGCTGAAAATTAACAGAAAACCTTAATGTGATATAGTTACTGACTGTCATAAATAAAAACAGCATCTTTATGAAGAACAATTATAAATCAATTGTTTATTAATGAATTAATTATAAATTTGATCTTTTATCTCCCATTTCTATAATTCCTGCCATAGTGAAAAGACAGAAGATGTGTGTCACATCACTAGAATGCTCAAGATGTCCTCTTCACAGGACATACATGCTGCAGTGTGTGCAATATAATAACTACTACTACATTTGACGATTTATATATGACACATAATCATTCTGAAAAGAATCTAGTGATGTAGAAATACTGCCTCTGACTTGCATGCCTGGGAGGCTATAAGAAAATAAAGGAGCAAAATGTATCTAGAGTTTCCCAAAAAGGCAAACTTAAGAAATAAAAAGTGAGGAATAACTGAGGAGAGCCTTCATTCCATCCTCAGTCACATAATTTACAGGAGCAGACATCCAATCTGACAAAGCGTCCATGATGTTTGATGGTGGATGATATTAGTCACTGAGCAGAGATATACTGTAGGTGGGCTGTGTAAGAGGAGACAGTGGTAGGTTAGTCCCAGCACACGATGGAGGGAGAGAGAGATGTAAAAGGAACAGGATCAGGCAATGGGGATGATAGGATAAGTCATGTCTGGGGAAATTGCTTGTGTCTGCATGTCAGTGACAAACATAAATCCAGCTGCATTTTTTTCCTCTGTCCTTTGTTCCCGTCTGCGGTTTGTGTTTTAACTGGTCGAGCCGGAGCTGCTGGAGAACGGCTACAAACTCAGGTTATAAAGGATCCTGTGATCTGTGCCAGTATTAAAGAGTTTTGTTACACTTGTAACGTGTGATCAAAAACATTGCTCAATTCTGAGGCTGTTCCGTAAATTGTTTACTAATAAATAGCTAACTCATATCAATTTCAGGTTTAAATTAACGACTTCCTGTTAGTTCTGCCCACTTTAAGCACCACCCCTGTGAAGAAAACACAAGAGGTGAAGAATTTAAAGAAACTAAGAATGAAAGGTTAAGTGTGTACCATTTAGGAGGATAGGATATTCATAGGTATGTTTTCATTAGTGTATAATCACCTGAATATAAGAATCACTGTGTTTTTGTTAACTTAGAATGAGCTGCTTTTATCTACAGATGCTGTGGTTGCCTTTCTGCCCAGAGCAGACAAACTAAACATTGACTGTAGATAGGGCCTTTCGTGTTTTTTGTGCGTTTTAGCCACCGTAGTTTCTCCTTTGCGCTTGGAAGAAGAGGCCGAAAGCTAGGGAGTTGCCACTAAATCCTACACACTTGTTCTTCAAATACACAATACAACCTTAATAACGAAGCAAGTTACCATCAGAAAATTCTACATTTAAGATCATTTGTGGAGAGTGTGAGAGTTTGCACTCGAGTAACCAAAAACTTGATAGTAATTTGTTTTTGGATGTACATATGCAGAGTATTTTCAATAAAATAAAGTAGAACTCAGCTGACATGTTTGGATTTTGTTGTTTGTCTGAAACCCTTTGAAAGCCTTTTAATTGTTTTTCTCTTTCTTAACCTATATATGTATTCAGTTTATTTTATTTCAGATATGTGTATATGTGTATATATGTATCTTTACTAATAGTCTTGTAGCACAGAACTTTTCAAACTGGGGTCTGTGACCAATTAGGGTCCTTAGGTGGGTTGTAGGAGGTCCCCAGCAAAAGGAGGAATAGAATATTTTAACTTTTCACATTATTTGGAAGTTAGAACAACAAGGGATGAAATAGGGTTGGCTGTTTTTATTGATTGTGATGGATAAAAATCCTAGTTTGAACTTCGATTGACTATGAAGACTTTATTATTTGAAACCTAAAAATAAAACAAGACAAAATCTTCTCAAATTAGGGGTCTGTGGTCTACTGTGCATCTGTTGTGGGGGTCCATGACACGAAAACATTTAGGAACCCCTGTGATGCTATAGGCTGGGATCCAGGCAACTCTGTAGAGCTTTATCTGATATAATTGTGAATACAGTTGCTGTACTGCTGTACATGAAATGCAGAATCCAATCAAAAAGAAAGAAATCACCAATCATAAAATCACAGTTAACTATTCACATAGGATCCACATACAGTGTGACAGTACTGTATATAAACATTTGTATAGTATATCAGAGACTTGCTGACTTCTGGTAGGACGATGAAGGCTCCGGTCATGATGGTCAGGACGATGTTGATCCCAAATAACCAGCGGAGGAAGATAAAGTAGGATGCCACACCAGACCCAAAGTGACCTCAACGAGACAGGAAACATCAGCTGAGACTGACTGACAAGTTGCACACACACACACAGTGAGACTATAGGTATTTAGGTCTAACAAATAAAATAAATGATAGCATTTTGGGCGTTGATAGAATTACTTTAAATCATTGTGTAGATAAAACAGACGACTCACTTTCGATTTTCTTGATCCTCACTTCCCAGGGAATGAACAGAACCACAATGTTGTAAAGCACACGGGAAAGTTTCTTCAGCAGCTGTAGGAAGACAGACAGCACTGAGAAACTTCTGACTCACTGTAACCTCTGACAGACACACACCTCCACAATGAGCGGAAATCAAAATGTGTTAACTGATAATGTATCTGACTATAGCAGTGGTGTAGGTCAACTCTACCTCTGAGAGCTGGTTTTATAACTATAGAAATCCATTTTGCGGCCACCTTAGTTTCCCCTTTAGGGAGGGTGAAGCAATGGAGTTGCACTCTGCAACTACACCACTAGATGCCACTAATCCTACACCCTGGACCTTTAAGGGAACTTGGGATCCTATAGTACCATTTACATTTTAACAATACAATAGGTGTTGGCGTTTGGCCGGTGGCCCACCATTAAGTTTTAGTTTTGGTCATCCAAGGGGAAAAGTTTGAGCAGCTACTTTAGAGGAAGAATTAGATTAGGTGATTGAACAATAAGAAAACTAGAAAACTAAAACACAGTACAAATGTTGAATTGAGCATATCTATTTTGAGACTCATATCTAATAGCAACTTTGTAACAAGTCCCTCAAACTTAACCAGAAAATACATAATTTGACACCCCCCTCCAGAATGACACATATGAGCATTCCCAGACCTCTATAAGCAGGGTGACATCCTTTGACAGTGCCTGCTGAAATGCCTATGACCATGTAAAACGATTCATATGACAGTTCCCTGGTCTTTTTTCGGATATAGATCGATGTAGCCGATTTTATTCCTCCTGTGAACTGGTTTTCCCATATGTTTTGGTAAATCTTTAGTTTACACTCCTAGTGTTTTCTAATCTAACAATCACATTTTTGTACAAAAAGTTGTACATTTCTACATTAAAACCCTTAAAAAGTCATCTCCTCCTTCTAGCTCATTAAAACTTCTAGAATCTTCTAAAGTTTTCCTGCTGACAGCAAGATGCTCCTACGTTCACTGTGAAAGTCCATTTCAGTGGATGTCACTGGTGGCTTCAAAGTTTCTACATCACACTAACAAAGTTGCATCCTGGACCAGGACTGACTTCCTTAACTATTGTGATGTCACAAATCATGCTGGTATCATTTGCTACAGAAGAGGAGGTCTTTGTCAAGTAAATGTAAACTGTACATGATTCAAGTGTCCATTTTGGTTATTTTGTTTAGTCTTGTTTGGCTAAAATCAAATTCAAGTTGTTTCAAGCGAATGACACTGATTTAACTTTATGCCATTACATTGCTGTCTAATTGTGAGTCTTGTGTAGTCTGCATTACTCACAATGTAATTTCGTAGCACATATCGATGACGTCCACATGAGGTCTGAAACATTGTGACTTATGATGTGATAAAACATAAAATCAGAGCTGAGACGATGATTATTAATCAAGATAAGGTCAGCTGGATCGCTGATTCTGATTTTCAATTAACTAGCAGCCAAACTGTAGAATTAATAACTCATCATCAGACTGCTCACTAAAAGTCAATTTATTCTAATGGGCCCTGAGCAGCCTGAACATTTTAATTAAACTGAGCTATAACAACAGGCTATAAATTCACTCATGCTGCTGTGCTATGGCTGCATAGCTCTCTTTCTCTCTGTATATGTGTGCATATTGTACAGAGGGACAGATAAAGTAGATATCTACAGTATGTGTGTGTTCAGCCCACAGGAGGAGAAAAGTTGTTAAAATCCAACATGTTTTATTGTTCTGGCTCTGATCATCACGTTACTGCAGTGCAGTGAAATAACACAAAGAAGCTCCTCTCAGCATACAGTTAGGCAGAATAAATGGAGCTGTGGCTGTACAGTATAGAGCACATATTTTACTGAATCTGCTGAAACAGACATCTTTTTATGACCGTAGTTCTTTTTTTGTATGTTGTGGACAAGATCTGTTCTGATCTTGTTTTGCAACATTATAAATAAACCCACATGCCTGCTTGAGACTTCGGAATGTTGTGTCCATCCATAAAGCTGCAGTAGGTATGAAAATTACCTTTTGTCATATTTGCTGAAACTTTCACTATATCCTGACAGTAGAACATGTCATCTGTATTTGACGCCCTGTGAATGAGAATCAACAATCAACTATCTTTCTTGGCTCTGATTGGTTGTTTTCATTCAGGCCCGGTGGATTCTTACAAATACCATTAGGTACATCACTCCTGCAGCTTACTCTTTTCTGTCAGTCGCCTCATACTTTTTGAGAACAATCCTCTGGCCGCCTGAGAACACACACACACACACACACACAACACACACAGTGGGGAGAACATTTTCTCACATCCGCAAACTACACTTCACTACTCACTGCATCATTTATGTAAATATTACTTTTTTGGGCCCTTTCATACTGAGGCGTCTTGTACATTGTGAATATGAATGATGATGGTGTCAGGAGTGTCGGCAGTCTTCGCTCGGTAGGAGGATAAGTAGATGCTATAGGCGGTGTACCCCAAATAATAATGTGTTTCCTCCCAAGGCCTGTTACTCTGTGCCATTACACGCATACAATTATCCCTAAGTAACCTTTATATTAAGGTTATTTGTAGTTACAAGTATAAGGTACTTTAGCTGCTATTAAACATTAAGCAATCATAGCATAAGTGCATCAGTAAACCAGTTTATTTTTAGAGGAATACAACATTTATAAGGACTAAAATAAACGGTTATAGACTGATAAGTTCAGTGGGTAACGTTATGATATTTCTATATCACTATCTTAACCTATATATATTATTCAATAGGATGTTTTCTTAGTGTATATCAACCTGAAAACAAGAATTGTTTTTGTTACCTTCCATGGAGCCGCCATGTTATACCACATGCTTCTACAGTAATCCCAGAAAGAGACAAAATCAAACACTTGCCTCTGGTCTAAAGATCTAGCTACTTAGGTGGCTTACCCTTGGCCTCTAGTGCCACTGTCAGGAATCTTGGAGTTATCTTTGATCAGGATTTTCATTAACTCCCTTATAAAGCAGATCTCAGGACTGTTCTTTTTTCATTTAGTAATATTACGAAAATTAGACACATCCTGTCACAGACAGATGCAGACAAACTAATCCATTGTTATTTTGTTCTCTTTAGGCTGATTATGCACTCTTTATTATCAGTTGCCCTAATAGTCCATTAAGACGCTCAATTAATCAAAAAACGTGCCACGAGTACTGACAGCGATCTAGAAAAGAGTCACATCTTCCTGTTCTAGCTCTCTGAACTGGCTTCCCTTAATTTAGATAGAATTTAAAATCTCCTCCCACTACAAAAGCTCTTGCTGTCAGCCCCTTCATATCTTGAAGAGCTCATAGCTACCTATTACCACATCTTAGAACCACTACCTTCTATCTGAATGCTGGGTACCTTGGCGTTCCTATAGTCTCTAAAACGTTAGAACAGGAGCCAGGCCTTCAGTTACCAGCTCCTCTCCTGTGAACCAGCTTCCAGTTGTGCGTCTGGAGCGACACCTCTCCACATTTAAGTTAGGTTAAGACTTTCTCTTTGTTAAAAGCTTATTGTTAGCGCCTGGATCAGGTGAGTCCTGACCATCCTCTTAGTTATGCTCCTAGGCCTAGACTACGGGCATCTCTGGTGCACTGATCTCCTCTCTCCTCTCTCTCCTCTTTTCTGCACTCATTCATGCTCATTAAGCCATCGTACTAACTTCACTTCTTCCGGAGTTCTTGTCTTTATCGTCTTGCAGGTTCTCCCATGGATCCTGGTGAGCCTCCTGCCATGGTCCTGCTGACTACCATGCCTAAAACACTGTATTATTTATCTATTATATCTAAGTATCTATATGAACGTCTGTTCTACTGTTGTCGGCGCTCGCTGTCCCCCATCGTTGCTTGCTTCATCCTATCGTCTTTATTCATGTCGCATCGGTCATACTTTAATGTAGTTGTTGCCTTGCTGTTTTTGCTGCGTACATCTGTCTGTCTCCTCTCTCTCCTCTCTCTCTCTCTCTCTTCACCCCAACTGGTCAGATGACCACCCACCTAGAGCCGAAGGGTCTGTCCTAGTCTCTTGTAAAAGGCCATTTTCCTTGTGCTTGCTCAATGTGGTACGGTTGCGGTCTCTGTAAATGTTAAAAAGGAGTTCGGCTAGACCTGCTCTATTGAAAAGTGTCCTGAGATAACTTCGGTATGAATTGGCGCTATACAAATAAAAATGAATTGAATTGAATTGGAAAATGAAATTGAATATAGGAACACTCATGCTTTTGCTGCTACATATAGTTCAA